TCCGCCTATGGTCGCACATACCTCGGAATGGAAGCCGTACGACTGATTGCAGTAGTGGATCGAAGGAGAGTTTTGGTGAGAGAGGCAGGAGTTCGCTCCGTCCATGTGAAGATGATGAGGCCACTTCTGTGTTGAATCGAAATAAGCACAATGAGGTGATGGAAAAGGGACGCAGTGTCGTACCAGTTGCGAGCGTTTGCATCGCCTAGAACTGTGGTGATGGGCATTCGGGAAAGCAGCTGTAGCGCAATGCTTGTGGAATGGCTGGTCTCGTTGAGAGAATCCAGAAGCTGAATGCCCCCTCTGCGCCACGCCAACCACACAACAACTCAAGCATGTCGATAGCGACAATTTGTCCCTCGGCACAAGCCCCACCTCTGTTGTCATTGCAGGTCACTTCAGTGTGAGTGAACCGTACTACTGACTCCTTCCACGTCGTCAGGTATGCAATGAAGTGATAGTCCACACGTAGCATTCAACCATGGAGAATTACGTGCCATCTGCACCCGTCATACACTAAAAGGGAGTTGCTTAGCCTAACTGTTCCTTGTGTGATGGAGAATAGGTAAAACTGAAAGGTCAATACAAGGCATGGGGGGTATGTGTTGGGCAAATTCGTGTCCTGTGAGTGGAGAAGACGAACCATGACAGTGGTCTGAAATACCTCGTCTACGTCAAACGGCCAAACGGTGGCCTCGTCCGGTGGCATCTGCTTTGGCAGGAACGACCCAGTCTCCCCTTCTCGCACATTCTCATATGCTCACCTTGACGAGAATTGGTTTGTCGCAAGTAAAAGCATGACCGATGCTCAACCATGGAATGTCGCGCGCTGCTAGTGGTGAGTGAATATGCACGCCCGAGGGATCATCGAAGGAGTGATGTTGTGCTTTGCGATACGCACTAGGAAGTGCTTACTCTCGACTACACTGCTGAGACTGCATTTCAATTGGTGTGTAAGGACTCTGGCCAATGGCGTCAGTCAACGTGGCATAAGTGGTCGGTGTTGCTGTTCATCACCTTCGATCATGGT